TCTCTCTCTCTCTCTCTCTCTCTCTCTCTCTCTCTCTCTCTCTCTCTCTCTCATGCCTTTCATGATTGTCACACGTATACGTGCGCACATGTTACAATGGAGTCACGCAGCTCACCGATAGCAGCACTCACAGCTGTGTACAATGGGAGTGTCCTTGGATTCGACAAGAGTGGGTGCATCCAACTGCGAGAGCGGCATGGGTCAAACTTACGGTGGCATAACGTGTCGTCGGAGGATGCCAGAATGCCAAGAATTACTTCCGGTGCCCCGTTGGATGACATTCCTGGAAAGCCACGCCCTGTGACTACTGACGATGCGATCTTCTTTGTTGATGAAAATGGAGAATTGTTGGAGCTCCTGGTGAGAACCCTTTTCAACATTTTTCTCTGTGCCTTCTCGTTCGCATCACCGTCGTTTATTCTTCCGTGCTGTTGCGTCACTAGCTGCTTCGCAGCATCTTGAGTTTTTTCTGTTTCTTTCTACATTTTTGCTGTCCCTTGTTTGCGTCGTCACTCCCACTCTCTGACCACTGGTCTGTGCTCTCTTTTTTCCAAGGCAATATGGGTGGCAACGGTGTCTACTGCAGCATCACCAATCATTTTGATGCGCCTTTTCTTTTCAAAATTCAAAGTTCAAACAGAAAACAACTGTGTTATGGGTAACATTGAAAGTGTGCCAGTTTGGGGAAACAGTTTGCTGCCGCTGCCGCAGATTTCATATTCCAAGTTTTTGTGACCATCTATAGACGATTTGTCATTTACATCAGTGACTCAGATGGGGAGTCGAGGTGGGGGGGCGGTGGCGGCGGTGGAGGGCGGGGGGGTGGCGGTGGAGGGCGGGGGGGCGGCACGGGGGGGTGTAGAATAGGCGGATCTGGAAGGAGCAGGGGTGTGCCAGAGGGTAACGGTTCTTATCTGTATCTAGCGGATGTTACTACCTTCTTCACCCGAATCGAACGTGCCCGGTCATTATCGCTGCATCTAGACTGGCAGTTGCCCCAAATGCAGCTATAATGACCGGCCGTTCTATTCGGGTGAAGACGGTAGGTGTATACACCATGTAGCATGGACTGTATATGATCCATTAGATAGCGGGAAGGGATCTGGGTAAAAAATGTTTTATAATTTTTATTTGAATTTTTTCGATTTTCTGTTTGCTTGCATTCTCTCTACTGGAGGGTGGTGGGTATGACAGAGAGAGGATTTAATGAATCCAACTTCAGAAGCGCGAAATCCAGTCACACACAAACTCATGAGGGTTGAATCAAAATGGTAACGACGAAATTGATATAGCAATGGACTTCAAGACTGAGAGAGGGAGGAAGAAGAGCATGAGAATGAAAATATCTTTCTTCATAATATTTAATGGAATTGGCGGTCCCCGGAAGACTGTGCCCGGGGAACCAGGCGACACTAGTACTGGGAGTAGTCCCAGGTCATGGGTTGGCTTAGTTTTCACTGGTACCGGGAGTAGTCCCAGGCCAGGGGTTGTGTTTAATTTTTCTTCTGCTTTCTGTTTCTGTCGTTTTGCCCAGTTTCGTTTTGGTAGAGGCGAGGAGCTCGAATCTCGCCTCGCCTGTAGCGCCGTGTGGCTTCTTTTTCCCCTTGTTTTCTGGTCCAGTTGGATAGCGAAAGAGGAGATTAAACCACCAGTACCTCCAAGCCTTTTTTCCCCGTGCCAGATTTCCACTGCGCGTCAAAGAAAAACAAACTGCCATGGGTGCGTTTTTGTCTTTGTTGTGGCTGGCGCAGCCGGCCATTCTGATCTTGTAGAAATGTCCATCGGAAAATCACGTGGTAGTCTGGTAGACAAATTCGTTGCAAAAGTTTGCCCATGAGCGCCAGCCAAAACAAAGACTGGCGCAACTGCGGAAAGTTTGTTTTGGCTGGCGCTGCCGGCCATCCTGGTGGTTTAAGTCGGCACTCTAGCACTGCGTAGTCTTAGAACAGAAATGTTGTCAAAGGGATCAGATTTGAATGAGGACTTCTTTTTTTTGGGATTGCATGATTCTCCAGGTTGCCCTGAGGCTGCTGAGCTGGCGCAACTGCGGAAAACCAGCTGGTGTACCGATTGCTGCCATTCTTGATGCAGAAGTTCTACGGCTGCGGGTGGTATTTGTCGTTGGCACAGACGGATTATTGTACGAGGTGAGCTTCAGTGCATTCTCTGATGCGATTCTTGCAATTGGAAGTTGTTCGTAGACAGCAGCACATGAAGGGTTGCGTCCTGGAGCTCTGCATAATGCGAATGGGATCCATGGTAACAAGTTTAAGCACTCATAAATAAACAACAGCAGATGAGGGATCGTGTTGTCGGAGGTCTGTGGAAAGGCTTGATCAGAAGATGGGTCATAAGTTATAAGAAGTTCAACAATGTCCTTCGGGACGTCCATTAAAATTTGGAAGGTCCTTCGGGACGTCCTTTAAAATTTGAACAATGCGGACAAGATTAGCATGGCCCTTGCGCAAAAACAAACAAACAAACAAACAAACAAGTTTAGCAATGCCTCTTGGTGTGGTGTTTTGCTGAATGATGCATGTGGCATGTGTAGGACTGTTGCTCAAAATTTTCGGAAAGTATCTTCAGAGGTTTAAGATTGGACTTTTGAGGTTCAAAGTTCAGACTTCCTCCAACATGTCAGATGAAATAATAATATCCATAGTTTTCGAAACAGTGATTGTTTCCCTTACAGACTGGCCCAACTCCTCATGGCCTGGAGCTGAATTCGGAAAGCAAAAGCAAAGCAATGCTGCTGACTCAACCCGCTTGGACAGCCGCGGAGTTTCAGAAGCAGTGATTGTTTCCTTGACAGGTCACGTACCTCTTGATCGGGAGTTGAAGTCCAGAAGCTATCCATTTTTCAGGTTGTCAATTGAGCTGCAGACTCAACCGGGCTGGATGGCCACAGCCCAAACAGCCGTGCAACCTATATACTATATAGGCTGGAATGCAAATTCTTCTTTTCTTTTTTTCTCTCATTTTTTTTGGTGAGGTGGCGGGTCACATTCCCGGCCCCTCTCGCAATGCAAATGCCTGATGAGTCAGTTGGACTCAATTTTGTAGAGAATCTGAATAGTCTGAGACTCTGAACTCAATGTTTGTAATCTGAGACTCTGAACTCAATGTTTGTAACTTAAGTACAGGAGTATACATACTAATATGATACTGTACATAGTATACAAGTTTTTTTTTTTTTTTTCTGAATTTGGACCATTTCTCGATTTATGTGTGTCATCCTTGCGCAGGGGCCATGCCAATCTTCCTTCTCTGCATCGTTCCAATTTTAACAGATGTCCTGAAGGACAGGAGTATATCAGTTTATGTAAGTGATAATATGAGATTACGCTGTGGGGCGTTGGACACGGTTTCTCCAGCAGATGCAGCTCCTCACCAACAGACTGGAGCATGGTATTGCAAAATGAAAAAAGGCTCAGCTATGCTGCTGAAATCACACTACGATTATTCAACTTGTCATGTATGCAAACAGCGAAACAGCAAATTGGCGACAGGCGCCCACTCAGTACTCAAGATATCGTATCCACATAAGAGTTCTCTTCAAACTGGCTATGGCGACTGAGCGCCCAAATCCCCACTCAGTACTCAAGATATCGTATCCACATAAGAGTTCTCTTCAAACTGGCTATGGCGACTGAGTGCCCACACAACTCACTGTTCGCACTCTGGATCACCCTGGATGTCCCACACGCAACACTCAGTATCACACTTCACACACACACATGCTAGGCTACAGCTATGGCAGCGCTAGCTGCCACTACCTATCGCTGCACTCTACTCCT